AAAAAATTGCTGACGGCTTTTGCGGTTTTTTTTATACAACAAGTGCAATTTATAAAAACTGACAATGAAAAAGTTTTTAAAAATCAACGCGATTTTTTATCCGCTTACAACTTGCGCTTTATCAGACAAAAATTTAAGAGGCTACAAAACTACCCAAAAATGTTTGAAAGTTTTTTAAAAGTCCACAATTTTTATAAAAATTTGTTGAGTTTTTCTAAGCTCTGCATAAAAACTGAAAGTTTGATTTATATAGTTTTGGTATATATGTACGTGTAGGTATTGCACCGTGCGACAAAAACAAAAAAATTTCGAAACCCACGAAGCAATCAATATACTCACGAAACTGTGGGCCAAATATAGTGGTATATACATACATACACGTACATAGATAATAACGTTTTTGTAAAATTAAATTTACTATTGCTCGCCTGCTCCGACAAACTTGATTGAGTGGGTTGACATTTAGGTGCAACGCTTAGTGCTCCTGATTCTTTTTTTATTTTCCTTCGGATGTTTGTTGCCTTATCATAAAGTTTGCCTGTTGGATTTTTGCCATTTCGACGGTTGCAGTAATAGCGCTAAATAAAAGCAAAATAAATGCATTTAAGTGTTGAATTTTTTTTTTTTTTAATATTCACAACGTTTTTCAAGCTAAATTTATTCTGTTATTTTTCTATAAAAATTGTATCCAAGCTTTAGCCAAAACCATATAAATCAGAGTTTCGAACTTTCTTCCACTTTTTATTTCGTAAGAAATTCATGCTTATAAGGAAAAAAGGGCAAAAATCTGTCAGCTAAAAAATTATTAAAAATCAGTGCTATTTTTTATCCGCTTGAAACTTGATCCTCCTTTACATATGTATTTACAAATTTTGATAGCAAGTGAATATGAAAATGCATACATACCATGTCTTCGTTGGGAAATAAAATAGTTATTTGCTCAGAAAAGGTGATGATATCTTTCATTGTCATAGGCACTGATCGCGCTGAGAAGTGGTCAACAATGGTATTTACCAAAATGTCACGACTAACATCTGACAGCACGGTCTTTTCTCTATATTGTTTAAAGATGCTTTGACCTCTTTCAGTGGCATTAAGTATTAACTTTAAATTCTTTGCTTCCATGTCTCTTATCGAGTCGTGAGACTCTTGGCTAGAATTTATCCAACTCTTGCATGATCCTATTGACGAAATGGTATCAGCCTTAAAATAAAAAAAGTATGCAAAGCTTATCATTGATGTGAAAATGATTTACTTACTTCATTCTGTCGCCAACGTGCAACTCTTTCTTTAAACTTTACTCTCGTTCCGAGCATTGATGCAGGGAAAAGTTCATTTATGTCCCCATCGTTGATGAAATACAGACTTTCTACATCCATTCCGCAATCTGTCAATAACATAAATATGCATATGGTTCCTCGCAGATTCTCAAAGAACTTACCGAGAATTCTTTGATAAACTTCTTCACTGAAGTTCATTTTACCACATACGACGTCTTTCAAATTTTCTTTTTCACGTGAAGCTTCAGTGGCTTGGCTTTGCTGCAGTGAAGTCTCAACTTCATTCCCCATGGTTAAATCACCATCAACAACGAAATATATGCCCGCCGATTCCCCAAAGACATTTTCTGTACCCATTCTTCTTAATATTTAAATAGCTTTTTTTAATAATCTTTCACAAATAATACACCAAATAAAAATGCAACCGAATGACGAAGAACGCGCACGCAAATAAAATATTACGGTACTTTTATGTTCTCTAACCACATACCCTGTAAAATTCACAATAGCTCATGTCAAAACAAACAGAAATCATGTTGCCAGACCTTTTTAACATCAACTAAATGTAAATTTAACACTTTATGTGTTTGAATCAACATTATTTAAAAAAACCCTCATGTAAATTTTACAATAACTCAGGTTGCAACAAACAGGAATCACGTTGCCATATATTTTTAACACTATTCACATGTAAATTTAACACTATATCTTGGTAAATTAACCAAAAATACTTCATGTTACTCTTAACACTTTTTTCCTGTTAAAAATATCATGTTAAAATGGAAAAATTGTTGTTGTTTCGTGTGTACAACTGTTTCATGTGAATTTAACATGGATCGTGTTACTTAAAAATCGAGGATATTTTTCTGGGTGTGTGTATATAAAAATAATAAAATAAAAAGCAACACAATGGAAAAGAATGTCCAGCAAAGAAATATGTATTTTAAAAAGTAAAAAGAGCCACAATGTTCTAAGCAAAGAGAAAGTAAAAAGAGCCGCATTTGGCTCATATTTTGTTTGTAATACGGCTAACAGTCGATTGGCTCACAATCGATATTTTCGCTATTTCACGGCATGAAAGCCCCGTCCTAGCTTTTTCAGTAATATTTTTATTTTTATTTTCCAAAACGCATCTCATGGTATTTTAATAACAGAAAACCAACTCACTTACTCATTTATAACAAAAGTCGACACTTCAACGGAGGAGAACAGGTTGCAGCGAGTTGCAACGTGGCAATATGTTTCATAAATTATATGGGTGCAAAATTGAGTCAATGTGTTAATTTACAAAAATTGATTGAGTGCATATACGTTAGCGAAATTTGATATTTTTATGGTGGATTCTAGTGCTTTAAACTATACTCTAATATACATCAAAAAAATTAATTACAATTTTGCCAAAGAGCCACCGAAAAACCCATAAATTGTAATTTTTTTATTATTAACTCAATTTCGCACCTAATGTATGTACATGCAACGAGTTTTATTTTTCAACAAATTTAAATCTGCACAAATTCTTTTTCATAAAGACTAGTCTATATACTACATATTTAAATATACGTACTTGCGTTTTTGAAGACAGGTACACCCCAAGTTTGTTTTGGTACCCATTTTGTAGCAAAATATTTATTTACTTAACAATAGATATACATACATGCATATGTTTGCAATATATTTATGTTTCATACTCGCTAACAAGGGTTCCTAGGTAAAGGTGAAAGCCACAATTTTAAAAGTACATAGAGACCTTTTGATTTTTTTGGCAAAAACATTATTTATACAGATTTGATATGATTACAGTTGAGAAAATTGGTTTTAACACGCAATACTTAGTGCCTTTTCCTGCCTTTTCGCAATTTCGTTTTGCCCTTTTTTGCCTTTTTTGCAATACCTAGTGTCTTTTCCTGCCTTTTTCGCTATTTTATTTTGCCTCTTCCAGCCTATTTCGTTATTTTATTTTGTCTTTTTTATAGGTTTTTAGGTCCTAAAAATCCGTTGCCTGCTAATGAGACAACGTGTAAAAATCGAGAGTATACTGTTTATACATAAATATGTACGTATGTATGTAATATACGTCCATATATACATGTTTTACTTCTACCACAATAGCAATCCAAAGCTGGAAGAAATTAAATTTTGATAGAGATTTGCATTGTCCGGACGCAACCACATAAATTGTCTTTTTACAACGCTTTTATCAACTTGCAATGTTGTGTGTCCAGAAACTTTCAATGTTGTGGATCCAGAAACTTTCAATGTTGTGTGTTCGACACCATAAAACCTTTGCTTTGAAAAGTTCCTATAAAAAAGCATAGTGCATAGGGCGACATCTGTAGTGAATAGGGCGAGGTAAATGACATCTAGATGTCGCCCTATGTACTACGTTTGCTAAAGCGGAAATAGACGACACGCCATTTCTTTAAATAAAATTAATCGGTGCTCGTTTGTATGTACATACATATGTAAATGCATGTGTGTGCACCTTTCTATTAATATCGTTGAATTATTTTAATATCTATTGCAAAATTTTATTCAGACAGGACTAAAAAGTAGAAAATAAATAATATAAAAAAAACTTTTTAATATACAACGCTTTTATAAATGGACTAAAAAGTAGAAAATAATATTTCTCAGTTCCATAGAATTTGTTTTGATAACTTTTGATTTTGAAATTTTAGCAAAAGTCATTATAAACAATCTATGAAATTGAAAATGAAAAGCGTGGGGCGCATGTAATACACTTGAATTGATATGAAAAGTAATATATGTATGTATGTATGTAGGTATATGAATAACGACCGCTTAAAATCGATTTCAAAGTTCTACTTT